TGTAGAATTTCCAATCAGTCGACTTTCCTGTAGTTCTGGGTAATGTCCATTTTATATTTTAGTTGTATTTTATTGAAATTGTTGTGTGTGGCTGCGGCTAGGTGTTTATCTGGGCGCAGCCATCTTGGATCCCCCCACATACATTTTCTTTACCTTAGTAATCCTCAAAGTTACAATAACAATAATAAAACACTAGTTTATAACAGTTATAACACAGCAGTATTAACCTTGAAATAGTAACAAAAGCATAGCTATTACTATCATGATTTTTTTTTTCCCTCAAGAAGTTTACATCTTAGTTTAGGAGGTAAGCCTTCAAAAACCTCAAGGAATCATATTAGATAGGAAATAACTAAATAATGACTCAGTGTCTTGGGAATTCACAGAGGGAGGAAAGGTCAGGAAATCCATTTGGGAAGAAGTGGCACTTGAGCCAGTCTTTAAAAGATGGCTGACTGTTTAAAGGGAGAACGAGAGGAGGTACTGTCTATGAAGGTACTGTGGGAGGTACTTCATATGAAGCAGAGCCACCTTCAGCACTACCCTGTGTGTTTACCAGTGAGTGTTCAAGGACTTCATTTCCCTGGGGCTCCGTTCTGTACACCGCTCATCCTCTGAGCCGTTCTCTGTCTGTGACTTCTTTACCAAAATTCCTTTTGCATTTGCTATTCCAAGCCTAGGATGGTATATTAACATAATATAAATAATATGTAAAAATATAGTGATATAAATATAAAACAAAAAATATAAATAACACATTAAAAATAACAGTTATTCTTAAGTCACTTTTATAGTAACTAGGTCAAAAGAAATTTAGGCTCAGAAAGCAATTCCAAAGCCCTGCAACATGTCCCATGCATTCCTGTAAGCAGGACAGATGGGTTTATGTCATAAATGGCAGCTTAATTTCGGCCTTGGTAAGTCCTTAGCCTTCCCTCCCAGAGCAGCTGCTTCTGAAAGAAACATTGTGGAGTGAGTAAATAGCTAAAACCTGTGGTCTTTCCAGATCGGTTTCTTTCACCTCATTTTATGGTTCCTCTTTTTATGGCTTGATAGGTCATTTCTTTTTTATTTTTAACAATATATTTTATTGAGTTCAGAAAGGAAGGGAGAGGGAGAAAAAGATAGGAACATCCATGTTGAGAGAGCACCACCGATCAGCTGCCTCCTGCATGCCCTCTACTGGGGATCCAGCCACACAACCTGGGCATGTGCGCTGACAGGGAATCAAACCATGACCTCCTGGTTTACTAGTATGGGTCAGTGCTCAATCACTGAGCAACACCAGCTGGACTTATTTTATCTGTTTTAATTTTTATTGATTTGATTGGGGTGATATTGGTTAATAAAATGATACAGGTTTCAAGTGTACAGTTCTATAATACATTATCGGTCTATTATATTGTGTGTGCACTTTCCCTTTAGTGATAACCATACTGTTATCTGTGTCTGTGAAGTGGTTTTTTTTTTCCCCCCTCTGGCTTAATCCCTTCACCCTTTTGACCCAGTTCCCCAAACCCCTCCCCTCTGACAGTTGTCAGTCTGTTCTCTGTATCTATGAGTCTGTTTCTATTTTGTTTGTTTTATTCATTAGATTCCATATATAAGAGAAATCATGATATTTGTCTTTCTCAACTGGCTTATTTCACTTAGTATAATACTGTGACATATTGTCACAAAAGGTAAGGTTTCCTTCTCTTTTATAGCCAAGTAGTATTCCGTTGTATAAATGTACCACAGATTTTTTATCCACTTATCTACTGATGGGCTTCCAAATCTTGGCTATTGTAAATAATGCTGCAATGAATATAGGGGTGTCTGTAATATTTTGAATTAGTGTTTCAGCTTTCTTTGGATATATTCCCAGAAGTGGGATTGCTGGGTTGTAAGGCAGTTCCATTTTTAATTTTTGAGGAACCTCCATTCTGTTTGCCATAAAGGCTACACCAATCTGCACACCCACCAACAGTGCATGAGGGGTCCCTTTTCTTCACGTCCTCCCCAATACTTGTTGTTTGTGGATTTATTGATGATAGACATTTTGACAGGTGTGAGGTGATATCTCATTGTGGTTTTAATTTGCATCTCTCTGATGGTTAGTGATGTTGAGCATCTTTTCATGTCTCCTGGCCATCTGTATGTCTTCTTTGGAGAAGTGTCCATTCAAGTTCTTTGCCTAATTTTTAATCCGATTGTTGTTATTTTTGTGTGTTGTTATACAAGTTATTTATAAATTTTGTGTATTAACTCCTTATTAGATGTGTTATTGGTAAACATGTTCTGGCATTTAATGGGTTGTCTTTTCATTTTGCTGATGATTTCCTTCACTGTGCAAAAGCTTTTTAGTTTGATGTATTTCTCTTTGTTTATTTTTCTTTGTTTCTCTTGCCTGAGGAGATATATCAGAAAAAATATTGCTAAGAAAAGTGTCTGAGATTTTACCACCTGTGTTTTCTTCTACGATTTTCATGATTTTGTGACTTACAATTAAGTCTTTAATCCATTTTGAGTTTATTTGTATGTGGTGTGAGAAGGTGGTATAATTTAATTTTTTTCATCTATCTGTTCAATTTTCCCAATATCATTTATTGAATAGACTGTCTTTACCTCACTGTATGTTCTTGCCTCCTTTGTCAAATATTAATTGACTGTATAGGCATCGGTTTATTTCTGTGCTTTCTATTCTGTTCCATTGGTCTATAAGTCTGTTTTTGTGCCAGTACCATAACAGTACCATGGCCTCATTGTATAGATTGATATCTGATAGTGTGATTCCTTCAACTTTGTTCTTTCTCAAGATTGCAGTGACTGTTCGGGGTCTTTTGTGGTTCCATATAAATTTTTGGAAAATTTGTTCTAGTTCTGTGAAATACACTGTTGGTATCTTGCCAGGTATTGCATGGTATTATAGATTGTTTGGGGTAGTATAGACATCTTAATGTTGATAATTTTTCCTATCCAAGAACACTGTATATGCTTGCACTTACATGTATCTTCTTCAGTTTTTTTCTTCAGTGTTTTATAATTCTCTGAGTGCATGTCTTTTACATCCTTGGTTACATTTATTCCAAGGATTTTTTTTGGATGCAATTGTAAATGGGATTGTTTTCTTAGCTTCCCTTTCTGATAGTTTATTATTGGTGTATAGAAGTGAAACAGATTTCCGGATATTTATTTTGCAGCCAGCTACTTTACTGAATTTATTTATCAGTTCTACTAGTTTTTTGGTGGGATTTTAGGGTTCCTTATATATAGTATTATGTTATCTTGCAAATAATGACAGTTTACTTCTTTTTAAATTTGGGTGCCTTTTATTTCTTCTTCTTGTCTTATTGCTATGGCTAGAACTTCCAGTACTATATGGAATAAAGAGTGGTGAAAGTGGACATCCCTATCTTGTTCCTGATGTTAAGGGAAACACTTCGTTTTTGCTCTTTGAGTATGATGTTGGCTGTGGGTTGATTCTCAAACTTTTATACACACCCAATCATTAGGAATCTTATTAAAAGTTAAATTCTGGTTCAATAATCTATGGTGGAGTTTGAGATTCTATGTGTTCAATATTTCCCAAGTGATGCTGACTGATGCCACTTTGAATAGGAAGTCTATAGGTTACTCCAACTGTTGTTTTCATTGGAGAGGACCAAAATGCGGATGATGGGCAACTCTTAGAATGATTCAGGCCAAAGATAACTGCCTGGTATAGGGTGGTGGCACTGAAGAGAGAGAATGGATAAAATTGACTGCTATATAGAAGATAAATGCATTTGGAGAGAACAAAGAGAGAGCAGAATCATAAGCAGCAGCAGTTCATGAGAGGCAGAGTGACACAATAGAAAGGCTATAAAGCTGGAAGTCTGAGCACCTTAGTTCTGGTCCCACATTTGCTTCTGAATTACTCTGTGATATTGGGCAGGTTACTTAATTTCTTGTATCCCCGTTTCTTCTTCTGTCAAATGGGCACCATAATCACTGCTCTGCTTGTTACACAGTTGTTTTAAGACTCTAGAGAATTAATATATGGGATAGTGCCTTGCAATCACTAGAGCATGATACAAATAAAAACTAATTACATCTTCAGTGACCCTATTTCCGAATAAGCTCACATTCTGAGGCACTAAGAGTTGGTGAGACACGATTCAACCCCTAACAAGGGTACTTCAGCACTACAGCTTTTCTGCGAGGCCAGCAGGACTGTAGTGAACATCTACTTTATGCCAGACCCTGCAAGTATTGGACTTAATGAGCCTTAAAGGTTTTAACCCAGAGAGGCAGCATAGCCTAGTGGTATAGAGATCAGGCTCTGAGCCAGACTGCCTGGGTTTGGGCCTTGGCATGCCAATTACTAATCATGTGATTTTGGGCAAATAACTTAATCTTATTTATCTATAAAATAAGGATGGTAGTACCTAAGTGATAGAGTTGCTGTGAGGCAAAAGTTAATTAATACATAGGAAAGAATTTGAGCCATTGCCTGGTAAGCACCTTATAAAATATTGGCGACTCACATTATTAAATCTACTTCCAAATATAAAATTCTGTAATTGAACCTTAAAGAACTCCGTGGTCAAAGCCCTAGTAAGTAGAACACAGGCTATAGAAGCTCATTGAATAGAGGATGTCAGGGCTGGAAGTGTCCTTAGAGACAGCCTACTGGAGCCTTCTCTCTTTACAGATGGGTGGGAAACCAGGCTTTCGAAGAAGGAAGGGAATTTCCTGGATCAGAGGGCTCATTAGTAGTAGAAACAGGACTATTAACTCTGATGAGTGTTCTTTCTGTGCCTCCCTTAAGTTAGACAAAAAATTAAGTCTTCACTCGTGCATTGAGCATCGATTCCAGTTTAAGCCCAGCATTGGGCCCTGTAAATACAGATATGAAATAGGTAATTCTTGGCCTCTAAAGGAGCCTACAGATCAACAAAAGAGCTAAATAAGCCTAAACATGTAATAATGTTTCTGTTTCTTTTTAAAAAATTTCCTTTTCTCTGTTTCTTTTGCAGCAAACAAAAAGAAGGAGAAAGAGCGGCCGGAGATTTCTCTTCCCTCAGACTTTGAGCACACGATTCACGTTGGGTTTGATGCTGTCACAGGGGAGTTTACAGTAAGTCCCGGGCCACAGAAAGGCCTGCAGAGTCCTGGCTGTGCCCCGTGAGAGGCAGTCCTTTCTAGTCTCCCTGATGGCTTCTGTCTGCTTGAGACCCTCGTTACTATCTTCTTTTATTCACGAGAGGGACACTTGACCGGTCTCCAAAATTGCACCAAAGCAATCCTTTGAATCGTCATTTCTTAATTAGAGCTCTGTGAGGTGGCCTTTCGGCAGCAGGCTCTGTTCTGGGCACTGACGGTGCGGAGACAAATCAGACATGGTTCCTATTCTAAAGGAGGATTAGCCTGGTGGAGGAGCAAAATCTCAAGAAGAGACTAATCCAATGAAGTCAGTCTTATAAAAGAGGCTCATGTAGCACCCGGAGGGTATAGAGAGAAAGGAATGACTGTAATTGCCCTTGGCTGCTAGCAGGTATCAGAGGAGCGCTGATTTTCCTTTAGGCCCCCTGTGACTATCCTCCTGACCGCTTTGCATGTCTCTCTTACAGGGGATGCCAGAACAGTGGGCCCGCTTGCTTCAGACATCAAACATCACGAAGTCGGAGCAGAAGAAAAACCCGCAGGCTGTGCTGGATGTGTTGGAATTCTATAACTCCAAGAAGACCTCCAATAGCCAGAAGTACATGAGCTTTACAGGTACAAGATTGTGAACAGGGCAGCCTGGGAAAAAGGATTTTTCTTGTGGGTGGGAAAGAGCCTGCTGGCCAGGGTGAGAGAAGAAAGTATTGGAAAGAGGGGAGATGGTCCTTCCGCTAAGACAGGATTTTGGAATTTGAGAGCCAAGGCAATGGGTTTTGCATCACACTTGAGTCTTGACTCTGAAACGGCACAATTAAAAAATACGACATGAAAAGACATACACTTTGTGCTAGAAGATCTAACTTCTGACACTCACTAGCCTTCAACTGTCACTTCATTTCTTTGAGCCTCAAAATGGGAGTAATAATCCCTATCTCTGGAGGCTGTAGTGAGGAGAAAATGAGCTCATTGATGCGAAAGTCCTTTATAGGTTATAAACGATGCCATGGAGATATAGCCGTCATTGTCGCCAGTATCTCTAATATTGTTAAGTTATTTAATAACACATTTAATGTGTACCTTTTAAGTAGGCAAGCCCGATTTCTTCATCAAGGCACTGATTTTTATCAGTCAAGTGAAAAACAGGTCAGCAATAATAAATGGACGTTGGTTTCCAGGGTTGTCTTTTATAGCAGAATTGAGATTAGAAGCTGGGTCCCCTAATCCACTACCAGCACCCTTTGAGTTTACTACTTGCCTCTAGGAACTTCATTTGGGGAACCTCTTTTCATAGTCGAGAAATTTTCTTTTCCTAGACAAGTCATGAGAAGGCCTACATTTCTGGAGACTTACCTTTTGTGTAGCATCTTAGAATGTCAGAGCAAGAAATAGCCTTAGGATGTATATCACTTCCAGTGCCCCACGTTTTGCAGACAGAGCCAAAAAAGGCTTTTCTGATGTGTCTGATTTAGTGGCAGAGCTGGTCTCTGACCTCCGAGTTCAGTGCTCTTTCCGGAGTCCATGCTGTCTTTTTCAAAGGGCAGTGTTACTAGGGAAGGTGAGAACCAGGGTGAACCAGCTAATTTTGAAGGATGCTTCCCCAGCAAGTATCTGGCTTGTATCAAAGGGCACAGATGGCGAGGATGACAGACTGCAGCTTCACTCATGCTGCCATTGTGGTGCCCAGGAGAGGGTCATGCATGTTCCCAGCAGTATTTCCTTCCTCACGTCTGGCCCCGCTGGGTCTGCCTTATTTCTCGCATTGAAGGACTGGGGCATTCCAAGGAGGAATTGGGGTTGAGGGGTGTTGTGGGATGAGTTTTCCAGGCAGGAGAGTAGAGCTTGTGTTCTACGGATTTTGTCAGGGAGATTTGAGATTAGAGCTGGCTTTGAAAGCCTCAGCTGCAAAGTCTTTGGAAGACTTTGTTTTATGTTTACATGTAGATGTGAAAAAGTGACATATATGTAAGTGGAACCTTAGCTCTGTGGGTTTTCGTGTGTTTGGAATTAAAACCCACTTAAGTATTTATGAATGAATGCTATACAATCCAGGTAATTGTATGTATACTCATCTATGTATGCATATGTGAATAACATGGAGTATATGTGAGTGAAATTTTTGATTTTCTAGAAGTTGAAGACTAGGACCAACTCCAGGCAAAATTTTATGTTTGGCTTGGTTTATTTTTAAAGTCATCTTTCTCCTTTTTCTGTTTCCCCTCTTCTCATACTATTATGATAACACTACCTCAATCTATATATGCTTGTATGTATGTGTGTGTGTGTGTGTGTGTGTGTGTGTGTGTGTGTATATATATATATATATATATATATATATATATATATATATATATATATGATTTCATTTGATTCTCATTATGGCCTTGTGAGATTGGTAGGGCAAGGATTATTATCCCCAGCTTACAGATTCAGAGAAATTAATTAGGCTTAGAGATACTAAGTGAATTTCTCTGGGAGATTCTACTGATAAGGTGATGGAAGTGTGTTTTAAATTTGGGCCTTTCAACCCTTTGTGGGTTTATAACCCAAGCATAATCTTTCATGCCAATTTTTGTCAACTTTTCTATTTTTCCCCCAGCATTTTATTTTCTGTGCTGATTAACAAAAAGTAGTGTAGGGAGTTTAAACCTACGTTGCCAGTGATTTATGCAATCTTATTTTAAAAATATATATTTTTATTGATTTCAGAGAGGAAGGGAGAGGAAGAGAGATAGAAACATCAATGATGAAAGAGAATCATTGATTGGCTGCCTCTTGCATGCCCCCCACTGGGAATTGAACCTGCAATCTGGGCATATGCCCTTGATCAGAATCGAACCCGAGACCCTTCAGTCCACAGGCCGACATTCTATCCACTAAGCCAAACCAGCTACCGTCATTTATGTAATCTTGAGCCCATTTCTTTTCTTCTCTGAACCTTGGTTTCCTCATTGGTAAGATGAAGAGATTGGAGATCCTCTCTACCCTGTCCTGTGCTATGGAATTTGATTTTGATATGTAGACATGGTACATCTTGGTTAAAAGGAACAATGTTTACTTGTTTCTTTTAGGGACCAGATAGATTTATTATCACGTTACCCAGTCCTCAAAAACACTAGCATCAGGTTGGGGTTGTGCAGTGAGGACATAGTATTGCGCTTTGTTTTGCCCTAAGTTGATGTCTTTTGGACAAAAAGAACCAATGAGTTATGTTTAAAGTGCATCCTGAATTGATCTCACCAGAGTACAGCTGGCTTTTCAGGGTTTGTTTTAAGAACATTTTGTCATAGCTTGTGGGTCCATTACTTGTCATAGGACAGAAGAAGTACTACCTGGTACTTTCTTATATAATGGGAATTGGGGTTTTGGACATTCTCTGGGCTTGGCTCTTGGTGAGGAATGTGTTGGATTTGGTAGAATATTTTTTCTCTTTAATTCCAGCGAAGCTTCTTGAACCAGCAAAGTCACTTTAGGAATTAAAGAATAAAACCGAATGCAGTACTTTGTCTTTAAACTTATTTTCTTGCTAAAAATCTCCATTGAGTGTATGGTTCATATTTCATTAAATCTAAGATATCACTAATTTTAAGAGGCATCATTATTTTATATACCACTAAAGAAAAAAGGTTGCCAATTAAAACATAAAATGTGCCCTGGCTGGGTGGCTCATTTGGTTGGAACATCGTCCAGCACACGAAAAGGTTGTGGGTTTGATCCCCAGTCAGGGTGCATATGGGAAGCAGGGAAGCAACTGATCGATGTTTCTCACATAGGTATTTCTCTCTTTCTCTCTCTCTCTCTCTCTCTCTCTCTCTCTCTCTCTCTCTCTCTCTCTCCCCCCCCCCCCGCCCCCCCCCTCTCTCTCTCAAAGTCAGTAAAATATATCCTTGGGTGAGGAATTAAAAAAAAAAAAAGGCTTTATAGGACACATCTCTTTTATAGAGATGTTAATGTGAAAAAACATCTCAGAATCAGTGAAATATGGTAATTACTTTACTGTGGAAGCTTGACTCTATTATTAGAAACAAGATTCTGCCTTTAATTAGACTTGACATGATTAATGCCTCTCATTTCCTGAGCCTTCGTCTTTCTCTCCCTGTGGGGAATAGACATGAATGTAGAGGATCCTTTCTAGAAGCCCAAGCTGCAGGCTGGTCATAATTTGTCATGGGTGCTCAGGACAACCTAGCCCTGAGTCCTTTCTTCCTTTTAGATTCAGGCCTGGTGACGATAGTGTTGCTGATGTGGATACAGTTCTATCCAGTATTTAGAGTTTGACCAGAATTCAGATCTTGACTCCTATTTAACAACTGTGTGTACCCTGGGCAGATGACTTAACATCTCTGAATCTCAAATCTATAAAAGGAAACCAGAAATCTATTGAGGATAAGGGAGGTAATATGTATAATGTGCCTAGCATTGTATTGGGCCCATAGTACCAGGAATGCTGTTGTCATTCTCTGAGTCCGGCAAGGGCTTGACTGGCTAGGCTTCCTTAGCTCTCAAGAGCATATGCACTGTAATTGTTTTCTGACTGAGTCCCTGGTCTTTTTTCCTTTGCAGATAAACTAGCTGAGGATTATAATTCTTCTAACACGTTGGTAAGTCTTTATTTCCTCTATTCTGATATGGGCAGGGCTGGTGGTTAGGGTCAAAGACAGTGTGGCAGATGCAGAGCCTAGGCTGGGAGGCCCTCATATTGGTCCCTACCGCCCTCTGGGCTTCAGAGTCCCTATCTATACCGGGAACTTCAAAGGAATTGGACTCAATCAGTAGATATCCCTTCCAGCTTTAATTTTTTATTTTATTTTTTAATGTTCTAGAAATCCCAACCTTGGAACCAGAAGAACTAGCTTTTAGGCTCAGTTTTTCATTTGCCTTTGAAAGCCAGTTTTTAAGCTTGGGCTTTGCCTTACCTGGACATGCCTTCGAAAACCGGAGTTTAGAAGAGAATTCCCGCTCTTTGGTTTGGGTATACAAAACCAGGATTACGACTCATGATTGAGGGCAGCGTATTCTGTCCATTTAAGATGTCCCCTGAAGCTGTGGTAAATGCCCTGTCAGGAAGGACTGAGGAGCAAAGGGACTTCAAAGATCCCTCTTGGTGTGTGTGTGTGGGGGGGGGGGGGGTAGGGGTAGCTTGGAGACAATGGGAAGATATGTACACATGTAATACCTTAATCAAGAAAAATATTGATTTATTGATTATTGATATAAAAAACAAGATCCTTCTGCCTCTTTCAGCTTACGAGTTCTATTTTCCAGAGCAAATAAAATATGATGATATGTTTGAAAGGGTCTTTAAATAGTAAGCTATCATATGAAATTGAGAAGGGTTGATGGCAATAGGTATCAGATTCCCAGGGTGTGTTGCTTTCCCCAATTCACTCTTTCATCGATTGACGATATGTAATTAAAAGATGGGAAGCATTTGCACATGTAAAGATCTCTGGGAGGTTCTTACCACTGTTGAATAGTAAATTACTAGAGAAAGCTGAGCAGTGCTTTGTGGCTCAGATATCTTTATTCTTTTATGGGAGGAGTGGCAGCTCTCATATATTGAGTGGCTAATATGTGCCAGGCACTGCACTAATAATTAGACCTCACAATTACCTTGTGAAGGAAGTATTCTCATTCCCATTTCACAGGTAGAAAAACAGTTTCCTGGAGACTCATAATTAGCTATTATTGTTACAGAAGACAGAGAAGAACCAAGCAGTGCTTAGAGAAATGGAGTTATTCTTTATTATGCACGGGCGCTGAGGTGGGGGGCGGGGATCTTTCAAATTCTGAGCAGCATCATGGAGGAAGTTGTCCCTTTTTATATTTTTTTCAGTCCTTTGTCTTCCAAATATGGAGTGTTTCTGGTCCCTTTTGCAAGTTCTTAAGATCCCTATGTGCTGGGGCTTTGAGACCTCAACCAAAGGCCTGGCCTAGTGCCAGCACTGATAACTTCGTCTGGGGAAGATTTATGGCTTCTCTAAAAGGGGAGTAAATAGGTCTTGCAGGACCAGACAGTTAAAGGGGCAGTGATTAGATTCAGATTGCTAGCCCCCCAAAATGTCTCTTTTCTCCCATCATTATGCAGAACCAGATTAGAACTAGGGTCTTATGAGTGCTAGTCCAGGGTTCTTTTCTCACTGAGGCAGGGAACTGAGAGAGAAGATGGCAGAGAGGTCTCATAAAGGAGACTGCAGGAAAGCCATAGCCGCATTGTTTGTTAGTGAAGAGAGGGAGGGGCCCTGGGGCTCAGGCCATATGGCAGAGAGGATAACACCTGCTTGCTGAAAACCTGAACTGGCTTAGTAACTACAATTAAAGCCACTCAGGCTATCAAGGACATTTCCCCTCCCAATTCAGAACATTTGTCCCTGTGGCTCAGTACATGATATCCTTACTAGTTTTACCTGAGGGATATGGTTTCTATTGTGATAGCATGTCATTATTTCCCATATTGGTTCCATACAGGTCATTTTTTGTGTGAAATAATTGGATTTGTGAAATAATTGGACAGGATTGTTATCTCCCCATACCACAGGTTAAGAAATTGAGATTCAGAGAAATTAAATGACTTGATCCCTATCCTTGAATGAGCTAATAGTGGAAACCAATGCACAATTCAGTTCTCCTGATCATTCATTTACTCCTTCAGACTATAAATATTTACTTAGAACCTTCTTTGTGCCAATGTGTTGGTGATATTTAGAAAAATGTATATGCACTATCTCAGTCCTTGAAAGAGAAATTAACAGAAGACTATAGGGATAAAGGCTGCAAGAGAGGTATAAATAACGTACATTGGGATTCATATTTGATGGAGTGATTCATTCTGCCGAGTAGTACAGAGAAGTTTGAGCAGAGTTGTTGGGACTAAATGATTTGTTCATGTAACAGATATGATTATTAAGGGCTCCTGGCTCTAATATTATATTTGTGGCATTGGTCTGAGGTCTCAGATTGTATGCCTTGTAGTTCCTGAATTCTCATTTATGAAATGAACACCTATTGTGTGATAGACTGGGGAGTCAAAGACTGGTCAGGTTTTTGCTCTTGGTCTCACAGATTCGTGAGAAAACCGGACACATAAACAAGGACTTATAATATAGTGTCAGGTAAACACAGGTAGTGATACCAGGCAGAGAAAAGGCAATGCTTTTTTAAAAAATGTTTTTATTTACTTATTGTGTGAGAGAGAGACTTCGATTTGTTGTTCTACTTATTTATGGTGGTTCTTATGTGTGCCCTGACCAGGGATCACACTGGCAACAGTGGTGTATTGAGAGACAAAACTCTTACCAACTGAGCCTCCTGGAAGGGCAGTGCTTTCTTACCTGAGGTGGCATGAACAAAAGCAAAGTTGAGGGTCCATCATTTCAGACCAAAGAACTTGGACTTAGTGCTGGAGCTAAAGAATATTTTAAATAGGAGACCGGTATAGTTTGATTTTAGTCTAAACTAACAACATCTTAGAGGATAAAAAAAGAATTCTTAGAAATTAAAAAATATTATTGAATAAATAAATTCACAAGGATTAAAAGCCAAATACATGTAAGGCCACATTAATGATATAAACTATAAAAAAGATGGAAAACCAAGGATAAAGGACACAGGGGGTTTAGGCAAGGAGATTTAAGAAGATTCAGAGAACCGAGGCAGTAGAGTGAAAAGTAATCAAAGAAAGAAATCGGAACCCTCATAACTGCTGGTGGGAGCGCACAATGGGGCAGCCTCTGTGGAAAACAGTCTGGCAGTTTCTCAAAAGGATAAGCATAGGGTTTCCATTTGACCTCACAATTCCACTCCTGAGTACATATCCAATAGATATGAAAACATGCATTCACACAAAAATGGGTGCATGAATGTTCATATGAGCATTATTCATATCAGCCCCAAAGGGAAACAACCCAAATGCACATCAATTGATGAATGGGTTTTTTAAAAAGTATTATATCAATACAATGGACTATTAGTTAGACACAAAGCAATATAGATTTCCATTGTGTAGTTGTGCCACTGTTTTTTAATCCACTCATCTGCTAATGGGCACTTAGGCTATTTCCAAATTTTAGCTATTGTAAATTGTGCTGCTATGAACATACGGGTACATATATCCTTTCTGATCGGTGTTTCTGTTTTCTTTGGATACATTCCTAGAAGTGGGATTACTGGGTCAAATGGGAGTTCCAGTTTTAATTTTTTGAGGAAACAACATGGGCAAAGCTTGACCTGTATACCTAGACTGCAGAATCCTCAAAAGGCTCAGAATTTATAGCCCCTCTGAAACTGGAGATGAACGGGAGAGGGCAGGGAGAGAACTAATGACAGATGCAGTTAAAGCTATTTAAGATGCAGTTAGATGCCTAAATCTCTTCCTCCACTCTAAGCCATTGAGTGATTGTCCTTCCCGGCCCTAGCAGAAAACTGGCAAGTCATTCTCTGGAGGAGGTAAAATCAAGGTTTTCTGGAGAGGATGTCAGACACAGTGAAATAGAAGAGCATCATACCAAAACCCGGGTAATTAAGTGAGTATATGCATACTGCGTGCTCACCCTCTCTGCGTACGAGGCTCCTAGAATACTATTAGTCAAACTTTTATTCTTAAAGCAAGAGATTAGAAGATTCTTCTCTGGATCTGACTGGCCTACATTCTAAAGACAAAACGGGGTGCTTCTCCAAATGCTCCAGTTGGATTCTTCTACAGTGTTACTCACCAACCAACCAACCAACAAACAGAAAACTAGATTCTGGTGATGACCACACAACTCTTAAAGATTTATTAAAATCATCGAATTCTTCCTTCTGCCAGAAATACTTTTTCCCAAGTTCATTCAAGCCACTGCTTATATGACTTCTCATTAGAATAGTTTTCCTGAGTACTTTATTCTGTTTAAAGTAATAGTTCCCTCCTTGCAACCAATCTCTACTCTCATAGACTATTATATTACTACTACCGGAAATGGTTAATTTTGACTGTTTCCTCTTCTAAAATATAAAGCATAAGCCAGGGACTTTATTTTGTTCTTTAGGATAGCCCCAAACTGTCAAAGACAGCCTTGAGGTCAGTGAGTGAATGAATGAGTTAAAATCACTGGCTTTTTACAAAACAGAGGTTTGTGGTTATTAGACAGAATGATAATTTAATTGATTACTTATGTCTTCCTAGCTCCTTACTGTTTACAGAGTTCTTATGTCCACCTCACTTTATTTCATCCTCCTGAGGGCCCTGTAAGAATTTTAATTTCAAAGAATTCTTTTTTATCCTCCAAGATGTTAGTTTAGACTAAAATGCACATTCAACTAGGGAGCTGCTGTCATTATCCCCATTTTATTTTATTTTATTTTATTTTATTTTATTTTATTTTATTTTATTTTATTTTTTAAAATATATTTATTGATTTTTTACAGAGAGGAAGGGAGAGAGATAGAGAGCTAGAAACGTCGATGAGAGAGAAACATTGACCAGCTGCCCCTGCACACCCCCTTGCGGGGATATGCCCACAACCAATGTACATGCCCCTGACCGGAATCGAACCCGGGACCTTTCAGTCCGCAGAACGACGCTCCACCACTGAGCCAAACCGGCTTCGGCCATTATCCCCATTTTAGAGATGAGAAACATGTGGCCTAGAGTAGGACAGCCTTGCCCAAGGACACAGGGATAAGAAATAAAAATTTGGGATAAAAACCTGTAGCTCTTGATTCTGATAGTTGTGAATACTACCACCCAAAGCTTCCCCCTGGGAAAACAGAATGTGTTGCTAAAGGAGATGATGAAATCTTCTCTACAGAGTTGTAGAGAGCAAACACACCTAGTGTTTATAGTACACATCAGGGTGCCCCAAGGCAACAACCCATGTGAAGAGGTAGCCAACTTAATTTCCATTTTGAGTTTCTGGTTAAGGTTCCTTGAGAGGAATAGTGGGGAGGATATAAATTAGTATAGCCCTAATTGGTTTGGCTCAGTGGATAGAGCATTGGCCTGAAAGGTTGCAGCTTTGATTCTGGTCAAGGGCATGTCCCTTTGATTCTGGTCAAGGCAGCTGATAGATGTTTCTAATTCTCCCTCTGCCTTCCTCCCTGTAAAAATCAATTCTAATTTATATATAAATTAGAATAGAAAATATTAAAATATATAAATATATGTTTTGAGCCCTGGTCAGTGTGGCTCAGTGGTTAGAAATTTGGCCTATGGACTGAAGGGTCTCAGGTTTGATTCCTGGTCAAAGGTGCATACCTGGGTTGCAGGTCCAATCTGATCCCTGGCCCTGGGTTGAGGCTTGAGCAGGAGCCAGCCAATTGATGTTTTTTCTTTTTCTCTCTTTCTCCCCCTTCCTCCCTCTCTTCCACTCTAAGAAAAAAAAAAATCAATGAAAAAAATATCTTTGGGTGAGGATTAACACCCCCCCCCCTCCAAAAAAAAATATTATATATATATATATATATATATATATATATATATATATATATATATATATATATTCACTTTGACAGGGAAAGAACCTCTATTGGACTGTAGGACTGAAAGTGACTCATTATAATTATACTACTACTTTTCTCCACATTCCTCAAGTGATAAAACTTGAGACCAAAAGGATAAATTCATTGCTTACAGTGACACAAAGCTTGTTGCTTACATGTGCCTGGCACTGAAAGTTTTTAAGTTATGCCTAGTACCTTAGTATGTCACATGTGGTAAAGGCCAGCCTGCCACCTGGTAACAGTAGCTCTAGTCTAGTCTTCCTCTAGGTAAGTTCCCACCTATCCCCTGTCATTCTGACTCCCTGCTGTCCTCTCTCTAGAGGCCCCAATGGCAGGCAAAGGGCAACTCAACCTCTCTCTCCTCTATTCGGCGATGAGCTGCTCAGGACATGGACCACCCTTTTCTTTGTATCTTTATGCCAACAGTGTCCATCACAGCATCTTACTGAGCACAACGTAGGTGCCCTGAAAACATCTGAAACTGTTGAAGCATGTCTATATGTATTAGAATCTCTCTGTTGCCTCTTGGGTCCTGTGCTGTGATCATTTAATCTCCATCAAACATCTCAGGTTTTGGAGCTATTTTGTCTCTCAAATCTGTGGTATAAACAGCAACGGTATGATATTTTTGCCTGGACCTGCCCCCAAACATGTTGTTTTTGGCCCAGCTTTGTTACAGTTTGCATGTGAAAATCCTGTTGCTGAGATTAGAGCAGATCCAATTAGTCATGCTGGCGAGGTTCATTCCAGGACCAGTGAAATGCATAGTAGCCAGTCTTGGGAGAAACGCATTGTTCTCTTGAGACAAGAGGCTCCTGAAGTTCTCTGTCTTCTGGTTGAGGCGAGGTCACCTGTGGACATACTCGGTGTGGAGAGGTTTTGGTAAAGAGAGGCAAAGGAGAGGCAGGTGCCTGCCTGGATTTCCATTCACCATATCAGAAAGGGGTAAGGAATATAATGATAAACTTGGTAGAATCCCAAACTTCTCATCCCTTCCCTACATGTCATATTTTATTACCTGTTCAGTGTGGGGAGAAAAATTTATAGATGAAGAAGGAGCTACGTGCTTGTCTTCAGGATCTGGATTGGGGAAGGCAGGTAGAAGCGCTGTCACCTGGCTTCCTAGTCCTCAGGTGGCTTTGGATGGGAGAAAGGGCCTGAGTGGATAGTGGTAACTGAACGAGAGGGAAGCCGACCGAGTTCCTGACTGGCTGCACAAAGGTGAACAGCTAGGAGGCTGATTTGGGTTTCGGAAGGGGTGTTGGGATGAGGTTTCTTTGGTGAGGGGTGGGGAGATTTCGATCCTGTGTCTGAAAGCTGGACCTGATGGAACCTGGCTTTTCCTCCGCGGTACAGAACGTGAAGACTGTGTCTGAGACCCCCGCAGTGCCACCGGTTTCAGAAGATGAAGACGATGATGATGATGCTACCCCACCTCCCGTGATTGCTCCACGCCCAGAGCACACAAAATCTGTGAGTTTTGGGGGACGTGATTTATTTAAAGTTTGGAGTGGGAGGTTGGGGCTGATGCTCGTGGCCTAGAGGTTTTATACTCGGGTAGTGGTCCTTAGATTTAGGCATTGGTGAGATCACTGAACCAATTTGATTGAAAGGTACTTTCTTTATAATTAAAGACAGTGAGCCATATATATATATATTTATCATAGGTTTGCAGATAGCCCCAAAGTGTCCTAAATAATTGGTGTGTATACCGTCCCAGCCCTCGTTAACTTAGTCTGTTCTCCGCAGACAGGAAGATACACAGAATTGATGTTGCTTAGTGCATGACTAACATAAATGATTCCAGTCTCCTGGGAAGCAACAAATTAGCCGGCTGCAGATCTTCTCCTCTCTGTCAAATGCCCAGCATTCAGCCTCTTAGACCATCACCGGTGATACTGAAAGACCCAAGAGAGTCGATAAATACATTAGTGCTATTAATATGCTGGATATCCGGATGCCTGATATTGGCAGTGATTTTTACTTAACTTCCTAGGAGCTTCTTCCATCTCAGAACAGCCACAGTCCTTCTGTTCTCTCTTTGACAACAGGGGTTCATGCCTTCTACTTAATTTAGCTTTAGTGAGCATTGACCTATTATCAGATGATACTCTGCTGATATATATATATAAACTTGGACTTTTTGTTATGACAAGAGCTTTATAACGAAAGAACAATCTAGGGCTTAAACCCTGTGATAGCACAAAAAAGGCTCCTTTGGGTTAAGCATTCAGGGAGGTGTTTTAGCAGAAGTTGGTTGGCTGATTGTGGGAGATGCTGTGGAGGAAATTGAAGGGATTAGATGACCTTTTAGGATAAGGATTTATAATCTGTGGAATCACCCTTGCAGTAGGTCCCCATAGCAATCGTTTCTATTATATAAAGGCACTGATCATTCCCAATTTATAGAAAAAGCAGCTGAGATTTGGAAAGGTAAATTGAGCAAGTCTCTTAGTAACCAAAAGAGCCAGGATTGAAAGCAGGTAATTTATTCTAAATCCAGGCTGCTTTCCACCATAGCACAGTGGCCTTTTTGTGTGTGCAGGTCTGTGCCGGGAGCCAGACAAGGAGACTACTAGAGAAGGAAAAGGCAGGGTTTGTACCCTTAATGAGCTTTTTTAAAATTCAGAGAACTAAACAAGAAGGACAAGGCATGTCCAGCCGTTGTAGCTCAGTGAGCGTCGACCCATGAACCACTCAGGGCATATGTCCTGTTGCAGGCTCGATCCTCAGTGTGTGGCATGTAGGAGTTAGCCGACCAACGAACCTCATCATTGCTGTTTCTCTCTTCTCTACCTCTATTTGAAAATAAAAATAGAAATGACAGAGCATGAAAGTACAGGCCAGAGGTGCCAGGGATATCCTTTGTCTATAGATAGAAGATAGAAAATGAAGAAGTCATTATGCTAGAAGTCAGGAAAGAAGCTTTAGTCTCTGATCTCAATGTCTTTACTTAAGCTCTCTCCCATTTGCACCTATTAAAGTCCTGTCTGTCCTTCAAGATCCAGCTGAAGAATCCCATTTAGTATTTATTTATTGATTCATGAAACATGTATCTAAATGCATGCTTTTTGTTAGGAGCTGCGGGGAACTCGGGCATGAATGACACATTCACTGTCTTCAGAGAGCTTATAGACTGGCCAAAATATAGTTGTGATATTTTTATGAAAAAAAAAAAAGATAAATGCCTAAAATGATCTTCTGGGAAAGAGAGTATAAATCACCTAAACCTCACTAGTATATAGTTTGCTCATTTTTAAATGACGTCTAACCCTTTCTGCCTGTAGTTATAACTTTTTCACAAGATTTAATTCACAAGAAGATGGGGCAACATTTTGTACAGCCAGGCAGAGTGGATTCTCAGTAAACATTTGTTAAGAAAATGAATAGGAAATATTATAGAATTAGCAAAATTTTAAAAGCACAGTACAGTATCTGTTGGGTATGATTTTAATAATTCCACATGTTAATTTATTCCTACAACAACCCTATAAACTAGGGTATCACCATTTATAAAGGAGGAAAGGAAGCACAGAGAAGCTAAATAACCTGCCCAAGGTCATACATCTGGTAAAGGTAAGAGCTGGGATTTAAGCCCAGGCAGGCAGATTCTCGAGTCTGTGGTCTAAATGACTCCATCCTACTGCTTCTTCAGCAAGAACAATTGTAGTTCCTTCTCTGCAAGGGTTCAGGATTTAAAGAGGGAGCAGCTCAAAAGAGATAATGTTGTATAAGTGCAAAACTCTGTGCAACTATTAGCTAATTCATTTCAGCTTGGGAAAGAATAGAATTTGAAGATGAAGGGGATTCCCATTCCATGATAAAATTTCCTTCAAATCATTTCTGCTGAGAGTTGTCTAACCTGTATTGAATATCTTCATTGTTCAAACTCTCACTAGCCCTTACTATGTATACTGAGAGCAAGGAAGACCATTCCAACCACCCAGGCTGGGCCTGGCACAGAGGAGGGACATAGATTTTGACCCGGGAGAATGAATGAGTTTGTTGAGATTTGTTTTTCTGTGGATGTTCTAATACACATTTAAGAGAGGCTCCTGAGCTTCCCTATGCTAACAGAGGCTGGCCTTGTCAAATTCTTATACCAACAATGCAGGTCTACACACGGTCTGTGATTGAACCGCTTCCTGTTACTCCAACCCGGGATGTGGCTACATCTCCCATTTCCCCTACGGAGAGTAATACCACTCCTCCAGATGCTCTGACCCGGAATACTGAGAAGCAGAAGAAGAAGCCTAAAATGTCTGATGAAGAGATCTTGGAGAAATTACGTAAGCACCTTGTAGCTTTCTGAACCTTCCTCTGCTAGTTGATTGGTTGAGCACAAAGCCAGAATGTTGTTGCTATCAAGATCTCCGTCCTAGGCTTGCTTTATGTGGCTGGCTAGCTGTGCTTGATAGCTTAGCCACAAGCTGTGCTTCTCTTCACCCTTCCCTCGTTCCCTCCTCCTCTGAGTCAATAGCCCTGATTGGATGCCACATTAAGATGGGAATGTGATGAGAGAGACTGTGGATAGCTTACTTCAGTATCTACCCTGTTTCCCCGAAAATAAGACAGTGTCTTATGTTAATTTTTTCTCCCAAAGTTGCTCTAGATTTTATTTTCAGGGGATGTCTTATCTTTCCATGCGCTAGGTCTTATTTTCAGAGGATGTCTTATTTTCTGGGAAACACGGTAGGTATCTCTCACCCTTAGGCATGGGTTATATATTAGTTCCGTGGTCGGCAAACTACGGCTCGAGAGCCACATGCGGCTCTTTGGCCCCTTGAATGTGGCTCTTCCTCAAAATACCATGGCCTGGGCGAGAATATTTTGAAGAAGTGGCGTTAGAAGAAGTTTAAGTTTAAAAAATTTGGCTCTCAAAAGAAATTTCAGTTGTTGTACTGTTGATATTTGGCTCTGTTGACTAATGAGTTTGCCGACCTCTGTACTAGTAGATGATAAATAGCTTTTATCTAGTGAGTAGTCTATAATGTTGTATTGACAAAGGCTTGAGGCCTTGTCTATACATGATGGGAAAGAGTGCTGTGATTGATTTTTTAAATTATTTGTATATTTGTCATTGACGTAGGAGAAGATAGATCTGCCATCTTGGTTGTAGGAAAAGAGGGAAGGGAAAGTAACATTTGTGAGCTTGTACTATGTACCAAATGGCAAGCAAGGTATTTTCTTAATTTTAAAAAAAATTTATCCTCATATTAGCCTTGTGAAGGCAGACATTGTAATCCTCTTTTTCTTTTTCTTTTTCTTTTTTTTTTTTTTGCAGTTAAATTACTTAAAGTTCAGGGATGCTAAATATCTTCCCCAAAATTATACAACCAAAAGAGCACAGGGCTGGGATTAGAACATCACTTTTATTCCTGTAGTTAGAGCATACTGCCTCTTGCTTTCAGGGGCTGGGGATCGAACCTGCACCAAAGTATGTGCCCTTGACCAGGAATTGAACCCGTGATCTTTTGGTGCTTGACTGATGCTCTAACCACAGGAAAACATTGGTCAGGGCTTGTTTGATTTAAAAAAAAAAATTCACTCTCTTAAAAGTTGCCCAGAGCCCTTATGAACTGATGAAATAAGAAAAGCTACTTACTGCCGAAACCAGCTTGGCTCAGTGGATAGAGCTCGGCCTGCAGACTGAAAGGTCCCGGGTTTGATTCCAGTCAAGGGCATGTACCTTGGTAATTCTCTCTCATCGATGTTTCTAACTCTCTATCCCTCTCTCTTCCTCTCTGTAAAAAATCAATAAAAAATATTTTAAAAAAAGAAAAGAAAAGCTACTTGCCTAACTCATCTATTTGTTCCTATATGTAGTCTATTTTTCTTTGAACCAGGTTTAAAAATATATATGTAGAACATAGAATTATGGGAAGCAGACTGCCATCTTAGTTAAGGACACAGGATCGAAGCACCAACCCTGCTTGTTTCTAGGACAATTTCCTGCTGTTCTCTGGGCCTCCTCTTTCTTATCCTTAAAATAGGGGTATTATTACCTGTCTCATTTGTAAGTCTCATTTGTAATTTGAGATAATGTATATGAAAAGTACCAAATCTTAGTAACTGGTATTAGTGGAAAGCACTTTGAACTGGGAGACGGAAAACCAAACTCCTAATCTTGGCCCCGACACCAGGGTGCTGTGTGACCTTGGGAGGAAGTATCTTCCCTTCGGTGATCCTCAGTTTCACCATCTCTAGAACACAAGTTGTAAAACGCAGTGACCTCTCTCGTACCTCTTTCTTGGCACTTGATGCACTTCCTTCTGTGACCCCTTCTCACCTTTCCCTCCCTACCTAATTCTTATTTACCCTGTAAAAATCAGCCCACATATCACCTCCTATCTGAAGCCTTTCCAGTCTGTATTTTGTACCTCTTTCTGTACCCATTTGCCGTCTAGCGCAATGATTATTATTTTTTCATGGGACTTGATGCTTGTCTGTCTCCTCCAGGAAATTGATCTTCTTGAGAGCAGAGACAGTCTTAACTGCCTCATCTATCTTTTTATTCCTAGCACTCAACATAGAGTTTGGCACATAGCAAGCATATTTAAATGAGTAAATGTTTATTGAATGAATTAATTAAAAATTAATAAGTGGCTGTTAGGAATTTAGAAATGGAATAGATTACTTTGAATAGAAGGGTAAGGAGATGAAACTTTTGGGTGGAACTTATGGGGGGAAACTTAGGCCTTCCTTAGTCTGGTTTTGGAAGGGGCCTGTTTCGTATCTTGATCTGTGGAGGGAAGGGTATGATTCCTGGTCTCTGTTTTTTCTTTTCAAAGGAAGCATCGTGAGTGTGGGCGATCCTAAGAAGAAATATACACGGTTTGAGAAGATTGGACAAGGGTTAGTAGGGGCATTTTTTTTCCCTAGAAGAGAGAATTAAAACTGTGTGTACTGTGCATGTGATTTTGCTTTTGTTTTGCCTCTCAGAAACCTTGTTCTTTCTCCACTTCACCCCTCACCCATCTGAAGGTGTTAGGTTAGGCTGACTTCGGGTTTGGCAGAATTATGCTTAAAAGGAGAGATGTGCCATTAGCCAGCCATGTTGCTAAAAATACCCCTGCAGTGAGAATTGGAAAACCATTCATTTTCTTAGTATGAAACATGCTTCCCAAATAACGGCTCTGCGTTTTCAGACTAACCCTGTTTCCCTGGTGCTCAGCTCTGCCAGCACAGTGTGAAATGGGAGACTCAATTGCAGATCCTTCTGCTAGTGTAGCAGGACCTGTTTTCCTAGGTGGACAGTCTTCTCCTCTCTGGTTCCTTCTCTGCATCTTGTATGCTGCCCTCAGTGCACTGAACTCAGCAAATCTAAACTGAGTCCTGTTATGTACTAGGCAATGGGAATACAGCTATGAATCAGACATAATCTCTGCTTTCAAAGGTCTCATGTCTGATGGAGAGAGTCAAACAAAGAATTACAATACAGTTGACCCTTGGACAACACAGGTTAGAGCTTCATGGGTCCATTTATATACAAGTTTTTCAATAATACTATAAATGTATTTTCTCTTCCTTATGATTTTCTTTTTTTTTTTTAAGTATAAATATAGATTTCAGAGAAGAAGAGAGAGGGAGATAGAAGCATCAATGATGAGAGAATATCATTGATTGGCTGCCCCCAGCATGCCCCGAAATGGGGATTGAGCCCGCAACGGGGATTGGGCCCGCAACCCAGGCATATGCCCTGCCCAGGTCCTCCTGGTTCATAGGTCGATGCTCAACCACTTGAGCCATGGTGGCTGGACTGCTTTTCTTAACATTTTACTTTCTCTAGCTTACTTCATTGTAAGAATACAATATATAACACATATAATGGGCAAAATATGTGTTAATTGACTATGTTATTAGTAAGGCTTCCTGTCAGCAGTAGGCTTTGAGTAGTTAAGTTTTTGGGGAGTCAAAAGTTGTACATACGCAGGTCAGTGCCCCTGTGTTGTTCAAGGGTCAGCTATATACTGTGATTTCTTAAAAAGCAGTTGGACATTATTTTGAGCAAAAGAAGTCAGACATAAAAGAACATAAACTCTATGATTTTATTTATAGAAATGTAAGTTCAAGAACAGGCGAAACTAATATATGCTAATATAGAAGCTAGAGAAATGTCACATTTGAGAGGGGAATGCTGACTGTGAAGGGGTATGAAGGAAGCTTCAGGGGTGATGGTGGTGGTGCACACATGTCTGTATACCTATTGAAAAATCATCAAGTTCGCTTAAAATTTGTGCAGATTACTTGAGATAAGTTATATCTCTATATGAAAAAAAAATTATGAGATTTTTAGAGACCTACAGAAATAGCTAAAGTTAAAAAGAGACAATGAAAAAAATGATCTGGCTTATGGAAAGCTCTCATCTCAGTGTTAGTTGAATAAAAGCATTGTTGCTAATGTGAAGTCATTGAAATTTTCTGTTTTATTTTTTCCTTATGATTCTAAACCCTCCTGGGAATAAAATAAAGTATTGAGTAATATACTGATGTTTTAATTATACAGCATTCTACAGCTTACATCAGTTATTTGCATCTATTGTTTAATCCTTAAAACAACCCTGTGAATCTCATGTTTTTTTCCTGGTGGAATGCTTTATCTACCAAACATGCTTTCGTGAGTCTGAACTCATGAAAGGTAGTTAACACGCTAAGAAGAAAGTGAGAGTAATCTGGTGTGGCATTTCCTGCAGCTAATTACATTGAGGTGCTGAGAATGTAGCAGAGAGGTACACAGGCAAGTGTGGGCAAGCCAGGTCCCATCTCTGGACTTCAGTTTCTTCATCCATAAATTTAAGGGAGAGAAATTATAGATTCTTGCCTTTCACATCCTGAATTGATGATTTAAAAAAAAAAAAAAAAGTCAGAGGTGTGAAGCCCATAAATAGGCAACATCTACAAAATGTGCTTCCCTTGCTTATTTGATTTATTTGATAGGTCTGTTAGTGCTGTGGTCAGCAAATTGCAGCTCGCAAGCCACATGTGGCTGGCTCTTTGGCCCCTTGAGTGTGGCTCTTCCACAAAATACCACGGCCTATTTTGAAGAAGTGGCATTAGAAGAAGTTTAAGTTTAAAAAATGTGGCTCTCAAAAGAAATTTCAGTCGTTGTACTATTTATATTTGGCTCTGTTGACTAGTGAGTTTGCCAACCACTGTCTTAGTGTAAGGGAGGAATGAAATGTTTATTAATCATCTAAGCTGATGATTTCACATTCTATGATTTTTTTTTTTTTAAATGCCAATAGCTGAAACCGGTTTGGCTCAGCGGTAGAGCGTCGGTCTGCAGACTGAAAGGTCCCAAGTTCAATTCCAGTCAAGGACATGTATATTGGTTGTGGGCACATCCCCAGTAGCGGGTGTGCAAGAGGCAGCTGGTCGATGTTTCTCATCGACGTTTCTAGCTCTCTCTCTCCCTTCCTCTCTGTAAAAAAATATCAATAAAATATATATTTTTTAAAAATGCCAATAAATATGAGTTAGTGCTAATTATAATTTTTGCTTGTTCTTCCCTTTAAGACCTGAAGATTTTTTTTTTTGCCCCAAAATTCATATCTAAACAGTCTATTCAAGGTAGAAATAATCAAGTACTAACCAATGGGCCTGAGTCACTTTCTAGACTTCTGTAATCATAGAGATGTCCATCCCCAAGGCCTTTTCAGAATGGTGCATCTGGTGGGATAGGGGAGGATGGGCACAGGAAGTTAGACACCAGCTTTATGACAGAAGATGGCTAGAGGCAGGATGATGAGTGAACGGGAAATAACTGCCAGTGCAAATAACACAATCCTTTTGATAGCTCTCATCTTATGATCACATTTTTGGGGCATGTAGCTAGGGTCTCAGCCAAAGAGTGGTGGCTAGGAAGCCGGTGACCATAATGTCTAGCTGTAAGGCAAACTTACAAGTGACCTTTCTCCCTCAATTGTCCTGACTTCCCTGTGAAGCATAATCTCAGGGCTTGCTAGAATGCTTTTTTTTTTTTTTTTTTTGGCAATACATGGAATTAAATTTCTTCAAATTGCATTTTATATATATGACATGTAAAGTTATAAATATTGCTGCATATCATCACCTACAAATATACAGGGTTTTTGGTATAGGCATAAAATGAGTTTTTTAGTTATTTAGAGTGGACCTGATTACTTTCCTAGCATTATTCCTAGTATTTCTCTCTCTCTCCCACTCTCTTTTTTCTTTGTGTGTGAATGTATGTGTGGGTGTGCATGCGCATGCATGCATATGTGCATATGTATGTATAGTGAGGATATCTTGGGGCTGGGGTAAAAATGTCAGATTTTCTGGGAGCATATGTATTTATAAAGCATATTTAATATTTCATGTTTGAAAAGAATGAAAAATGCCAACAACCTGTTTTATAATACTAACTGCAAAATGAAATTCACATATCCTCTTGAGAGCATAAATAAATAATTGATTTAAATTCTCATATTCACCCTTATACTCTTACCTTCACTTTGCAAATGAGGAAAGTGAAGCTCAGAATAACTTGCTCAGGATGGTATAGTTAGTAGACACTAGGTAGATGTTCCAGATTGGAACTCAGGTATTTTGTCCACTAGAGCCTGTATTCTCTTTGCTATTACATACTGCCCCTCAAATATGAGAAGGTGGGGGTGGGCAGTGGGGGAGATTATTTTTGCTGCTGTTATAAACCCTTGTATCGCCAGGTTGTGTGTAGATCTGCATTTGACAAGTATCTCCTCACTTAATTCCTATGTCCCCCCTCCCCTCTCCCCTCCCTGTTGTTCAGCGCTTCGGGCACTGTGTACACAGCAATGGATGTGGCCACAGGACAGGAGGTGAGTGTCTACAACCAACTATTGCTCCTTCAGCTCTACTGTTTGTTTGTTTTCTTTTCTTTTTGGTTAAATTTTAACCCTTCTTAGCTCGATAGGGACACTACATGAAAGACTCGGTGCTGCCGAAGCACGGAGACATTACAATCTATCCCAATGGCTCTCCAGTGGCTGTGGAGTAAAAGATCTGGCTGGACCGAGGATGGCGGATCTCTTTGTCCTCCCAGCCCCTCAGACCTCTCCTGAAGGCCCTCCCCCAAATCATATACAAATATGAGAGACCGTATTTTCCATTGTGTACACATAAAAGACTTATAGTGCCGACAGGAACCTGTGTTGAAATAATGGTGAGGAAGGAAGGGTGGTATCATTGTGTCACTTTTAAATATGGTTAGAGATCTGGAAAAGAGGGGATGATGATATACCCATTCTAAAAGTCTCTTTGATGCAGGTAACAGGGAGCTGAGATAACTTGTAGGGTTGTACAGTTCGCAAGGACTGGGTTAGAAACTTTTGATTCCAAAACTTAACGCTGTGCTTTCCGGGCTGCAAGACCACTGTGGAGCTCAGGTTAGGCACGAGGCTCCTTATCCTGTTTCTGGCCTCTTGGGCCTCACAGCCCTTAACGGGAGGCTGACTTGTGGCGGGCAGATCCTGAAAGGCTGGAGGCTGCGCTTGTGAGAAGCTACCACAGGAAACAGAAACTTGACTTCCCCCTGTGCCTGCCTTGTGGTTATAAAACTATGAATGGAAGTCCATTAGGGCGGCTAATGAGTGTGGTCAGGAAGGCCTAGCTTCCTGCCCGGGGAGTCTGAGTCTCCAGGCTTCGGGGGTAAGTGCTTACGAGGGGCTTCCCCGGGGAGGAGCAGAGCTGTTGTCTGTCGCCCATAGGAAGACTGTATGTTAGTGCTGGGAAGTCTTCCAGTGACAGATTGAACTTTAATAAGACCTATTACTTTTCAAGCCTTTTTTTTAATTTTTTTTTTAAGAGGGAATGTGTGTAATAGAATAGACTGGAAGAGGCTTTGGAGTCATAAGGCCCTGTGGGCACTGATTATGACTTTAGGCAATTTTCTTGTAAATGTTAAATCTCAACTTCCTTACTCGCAAATGCAGATAATGATTTTTCCTTACAGGGTTGTTGTTAGGTTTTACTGGCATCATGTAAGCAGAGCATCAACACCCGGGCCTGGTACATAGTAGGCATTCCATGAATAGTAGTGGTGGGAGGGTGGATGGGTTTTGCGATTGTTCCTGTTGATACTGTCATTCCTGCTGCTCTGTGCCAGGTACTTATCAAATGCAGTTATCACTGCTGCCTTTCTTTATCATTTAAATTTCCTTTTGAATGTGAGTAACACATGGGCCACTACTTCATTTAGTCCTCAAACCAATCCTGTGAGGAAGGGAACCAGGGTTGGTATTATTATCCTCCGTGTATTGATGAAGAGACTGAGGTTTAGAGAGCTTGTGATTGGTCAAGATCAGTAAGTGTAGACTCAGCCCTGGAGCTTACATCCTCAGAGTTCAAGATGAATTCCTTTTGTGTAATAGAGTGCTGTCTGCTGGCCCGAAGAGGAGGGATCTGATTAGGCGTGAAGGGCATGTAGCCTAGGCCATAGACAGTAGCTGTTACAAAGGATCCCCGAGGTCCTGCCACTGCCTCTATGTTATCTTCTGTTCCGCCTCTGTTCTTCCTTTCTGCTGCCAGCAGCAACTTCTGGGAGGTTCAGTAATACTGTTCCATCCTTCAAGATGGCCTGAGGGAATCCCAAAAGCACTCTGTGGCTCCAAATCTTAACATATGTTACAAGTGCTTACCACACTCAATGTAAGATGTCTTTAGGTCAGTGTGTTGCCCTTCAGACATATGTTTGCAATCCACATATCCCTCTCAAACACAGATTTCTTATCTGTCAGAAGGGGTCAGTAGTAATGCTGAATTTGTATTTCTGAGGATTAAATGAAATACACTTGAGAATACCTTAGATAGTACCTGACACAGAAGAGATGGATACAAAAGTGCCTTGGAAACTAACCTACGTTTGTATTACATGGAAACCGATGTATTTCTATAGACAAGAAGACTCTCTAGGTCTTTTTTCATACACAAGCGGTGTAGCGATTTTATCCTCTTTTTCTCTTCTCTCTTAACCTGGTCCACTCTGATTTGTCTTTCCACACCAAGTTTAAAAAGTCGTCGTCCCCTCTCTGAAGTCTCTACATTACCAAACATGTTTCTTTGTATGGACTTTTGCTATAGCACACCTCTCTTATACTGTGATTTTTAAACGTATTTTTAAATATAACTATTTTATTTAGTAGCAAGGTTGATCCTCAACCTTGGTGTGTATCAGAATCTCCTGAAGGGTTTATTACAATACAGAATTTCTAGTACTGGGTAGAGCCTGAAAATTTTCCACTTTCAACAAGTTTCCAGATATTGATCCTGCTGGTCTAGGGACCTCATGTTGAGTACCACTGGGCTATGTTAATAAATAGTGAATTCTTCAAGGGTAAGACCATATCTAATTCATCTCTGTCTGCTTAGTGTTTAAGGTCTGGTACTTAGTAGATGCTCAGTAAGTACTGAGTGACTCTAATAGCGTATCGAATGTACTCTGATTTCAGGTGGCCATTAAGCAGATGAACCTTCAGCAGCAGCCGAAGAAAGAGCTGATTATTAATGAGATCCTGGTCATGAGGGAAAATAAGAACCCAAATATTGTGAACTACTTGGACAGGTATGGACAGGTCCTGTCAGAGAGAGAGGGCCTTTGGGACTGAGGGATGGTGGAGTTGTTAAAGGAGAAGGCAACGCCTCCACTGAAGAGTCTTCTATGATGCTCAGCTCTGTGTCTCCGACCCTGCATACTGCTGACACCTCTGCTCCCTGCACAATCTCCTGGGTTAGGCTGAACCCTACCACCCTGTAGCTCCTAACAGCACAGTTTGCTCTGCCTCAGGGGAGCCCTTCAGCCCCTTGGCCTGGGTCAGACCCTTAGGCTTTTCAATCATTCAGTATCTCAAATCTTTCCTCATCATGTTCACCCTCCTGAATAAGTTCTAGCTTGTTAGGTATTCTCACAAAACATGACACTCAGTATTTTTATTTCATATTTGACCAGAATGGAGAGAGTGGACTTCTCTTTTGTTCTAAATGCAACACAAGCTAGTGATTTCATTTATTATTATTATTATTATTATTATTATTATTATTATTGAGGCATGTTTCATTGTAAACCCCCATGTTTACATGTTTCATTGTAAGTTGGAGTCAATTAAAATCTCTGATCTTTTTTGTTTTGTTTTACATGACCATGTCTTAAGCTGGTAATGTAGAACTTCTTAGTTGTCTTCATTAAATCCCATCTTGATTTTTTCAGCCTGATGCTCCAATTCATCAGAATTCTGTTCTTCAACATAAAAATGGTGGTTGTAGCCAGCATTTGTGTTCTGCATTACTTGTGAGGCAGGATTTATTATCTAAGAAACTGAGGTTCATAGATGTTAACAACTAGTTCAAGACCAGCACCTCAGTAAGTAGCAGAGGAAGGTTTTGCATTTGAATATTCCTAGCACCATGTCATGTTCTTTCTGCCCACATATGAAAAAAGAAAATGAGCTTCTTGCCTGGATTTCAGAGAGCAAAGGTGGAGGTGCTATTGGACTGTCTTGGACTTTATTTCCTTTATTCTTTATACCATTGCACTGCCAACTGATTTCATTTCTGCCTGATTTCATGTTTTGCATACAAAACATCAGTAAGCTTCGGTTTCTGTAAAGAGGGAAGGTGTTGGACTTTGACCTTCCCGGCATATGATATTGATAGTTGTAGAGAACAAAGCTTTCTCCTTTTGGGGGATGATTGGCTATATGCTGTGGGTCATGATTGGCTCTGAAGAACCTTCTGAAAGCTATTACCTTCCCTTATCTTTTAAGGACCTATTACACAGAGAATGTAGCTTGAGCACTCTTCTGAGGGCTATAAGTATACCAGATTTATTTCTCTAAGGGGCTCAGGATAGGGAAAAATGAAAACTGTCCAATAAAGATATGGCCTATCCCATAAGATAGTGAGTTCCTCATCACTGGAGGTGCTAAACAATAAAAGGCATGATAATATTGTTAGAGGAATTTCAGTTCTGACAATTGGATTAGAAAATTTATAAATGTATCGATCAAGCCTTTGCTGGTGTATCCAGAGGCTCAAACTGTGGAATCAGAAGTAAATAAAGCTCAGTCCGTGCCCTCAAATAGCTCCTAGCTGGATGTGGAAAGAAAGCACGTGGGAGCACCTGTGGGAGGACGGAAGTGAGTAGCCTTCACCTGAGCACTCAGTGGGGGTATTGCAATGGAGAGTCTGTGATTTTTGTGAGTTGCCCCAGAGGAGAACTCCATGTATTTGTTCTCCAGATATGTGATGCTCTGAGGCTTTATCTAAAGATGTGATTTTTGAAGGTGCCTTGGTGCAGTGTGTAGCTCCAAAGTGTTTAACACAACATGAACCTGGATGCCCATTGTTTTACATCTGTGCCCAGGTATATGAACTCTGCTTTGCACGTGTCTGGAGATAGTCTCTAAGCCCCTCAAACTTCTCCCTCCAATTAGTCCAAGTTGACAGATGTCTTTTTGGTGTGCTGGGTGAGAAGCCATAAATGTGCATTGTTTTATTAGGGAGAAAATAGGTTCATGCCCCTGGAGGGCTTTTTACCCAGTTCTGAATTCTCTTTTGGTTCAAATCACTACTGTCTTCTTTCTCAAAAGAGTTTGTTGAAGAAAGATTTAATTTGTCATATTTATTCTTTATGCAAATTAAAAAACTACAAGACTTTAAATTATAAATAATCTTAAGGAAGGAGTACTAGATTCATAGTCAAGAGAATAAGATTCAAATCTTAGCCTTTGCTTGAGACCTTTTTCCTCCTCCTTTTCCCCTACCCCTCACAGTGTCCCCATCTTCCCAGTAGCAGGATGATGGTAAGGTGACATACCATACAGCTCAAGCCAATCCAGTCTAGCTTCTTTGTCTGAAGCTAGCAGAGAGTCTGTAGGGCTCTGGGCTAGCCTTGTTTTTATTTGTCTTATTCTATAGCTGAGGATGCTGATCAGACTGGCTAAGTGATCCCTTTATCAGTGATTATGGGTTCTAACTCATGTCAAACTCATGATCTCTTTAGGAATACAGTCCAAAGTGGCAGCCCTTGGCTTACCAGAAGAGGCTTTAGTCCTGAAGCCCTTACTGGACTCATTGCATTCCTGGAATCAGAGACACTCAAAATATAGATCATTGGCAGAGCAATGACTCTGTATAATACATTACAGCTTTTAAATGGCTTTTATAGCCTTCTTTTAAAAACATTTACAGTTATCTTTTATTTTACCAACTAGAGGCCCGGTGCACAAATTTTCGTGCACAAATAGGGTCCATAGGCCTGGCTGGCAGTCAGGGCCAATCTGTGGGGTTACCAGCAGGGCCTGGGGACTTCAGGCTGGGGGAAGCTCTTGTGTTGAATGTCTGCCCCCTGGTAGTCAGTGGGTGTCATAGTGACCAGTTGTTCCACCAGTTGTTCTGCCATTCGGTCTATTTGCACATTAGGCTTTTATTATATAGGATTGATTTCTTAAGTAAATATTGGCACCTACTGTGCTGGATTCTGGGAGAGAGTCTTGAACAGGACCCAGTATTTGGTCTCATGGGCGAACCCTCAAGGAGGTTGAGTGACTCCCTGTAATGGTAACATGGACTCCAAATCCTATCTTTGTTAAATGGTGGGGTGCTCTCTGCTTTTGTGCTTCTAGAGGTGTATGGATTGTGTCAAATTTTAGGAGGCATTGCTTTGTGTTGTGACTAAATATAATTTTATATTTCATATCTTCAACCTACTGATCTGCCCTTTGGGGCTTCACAGAATAGTCTGCTTTGTTTTCTCCAGGTGAATTCCTAAGAGCTATCAAGTTAGTAATTCTGTCCCCCAGCTTCTGCTTTTCCCCAGAAAACAGACTCTTCCAGAGCTGATGGAAATGCAGGTTCACTCTGTATATGTGCTGAGCCTTTGAAATCCAGTTCTATGGCTCAGTGTATTCTGTTCCTTCTTACCCTTTATCCTACAGTTACCTCGTGGGAGATGAGCTGTGGGTTGTCATGGAATACTTGGCTGGAGGCTCTTTGACAGATGTGGTGACGGAAACCTGCATGGATGAAGGCCAGATTGCAGCTGTTTGCCGTGAGGTAAGGCCAGTGGCCAAACCAGCCTTGAGCAGGATGTGGCCTCCATACCCTTGTCTGTCAGTGTTCGACATCTGGTGGGATCTCAGCCTGGGCACTGTGCAGGTGGGAGAAATTAGATGGGAAGTCAGACTCTCCCATCATTCTTTTATTATGCCTGTTTTGAAATTTCTATCACCATGATTTTTTTTCTTTAAAGATAACTTTTTCCAATTATAAAATTACTAAAGGCCCGATGCATGAAAATTGTGCATGAGTAGCCCTCGCAGTCCCAGCTGCCTTGCAGCCCCACTGTCCCAACACCCCACTGGTCATTCTGGAAGGTCATTCTGTGTCTGGTCTAATTAGCATATTAGCAATCAGGCAGGCAGGCAGAGTGGCTAGGGGTGATTAGGCAGACAGATGAGTGGTTAGGAGCAATCAGGCAGGCAGGCAGAGTGGTTAGGGGTGATCAGGCAGGCGAGCAGTTAGGAGCCAGCAGTCCAGGATTTTGAGAGGGATGTCCAATTGCCAATTTAGGCCTGGTCAGTTGAACTATCCCAAAAGGGTCCTGGATTGTGAGAGGATGCAGGCTGGACTGAGGGACCCTCCACCTTGCCCCGTGCACAAATTTTGTGCACTGGACCTCTAGTAAAGGTATAAGGCAGCATGGAATGTTAAAAGAATGCTTAACTGGGAGACAGAAGACTAGAGTCTAGACCTATCTATGCCAATCATTTGGAGCAAGTCCTTTTACTTGTTGGGGCCTCACTTTATCGTAGAATTAGGAAGTTGGATTAGTTGATTTCCTGTAAGTCTTCATATTATATGTCCTTTCTTTCTCTGTTCACGCCACTTCAATAGTGCCTGCAAGCTTTGGAGTTTCTGCATTCCAACCAGGTCATTCACAGAGATATCAAGAGTGACAACATCCTGTTGGGAATGGATGGCTCTGTCAAGCTAAGTGAGTAGGAGTGATAATGCTTCTGTTCCCTGTGGGACCCTGTCTCCTGTGGGACAGCATTCATATAATAGTAGCTAGAGAACTCACTGAAGAGCATTTCCTGGGATATGCAGGATCTTTATATGACTATTATGTAGGGTGTCATTTTCATTCATTCATTTATACACTTAGCCAAAAAAATGGACTGAGTGCCCCCTAAGTGCTGATGGACATGTTTTCAAGTAGTTCTCAATCTACATGAAATACATAATTACAAAAATGATTTTAGTGTAATTTTTGTCATTCAGTTATTCATTCAGCAAATGTTTATTATATGTCTGTTATATTCCAGAGCCTCTTGGAAAAAATTAAAAAAAATGAGTGAGAAGACATAGTTCTTCCTATCAAAGACCTCATAATTTAAATAAATATCTAATTGCAATGTAATCTAAGTGAACTTCAGGCAGAATAAAAGTGTAAGGACCAGTAGTCCAAACAAACAGGTTGTGTCATAGGTGGATGGGAAGACTGTTCTCCGTCTCTGTTCTGGCCACGGGGTGAGGAACTGATAAAAGTGGGGCCATGCCTCATGGTAAGGGATGAGAGATTAAGTCTGAGACTCATGCCCAGAAAGTAAACCAGGACCTACTTGCCAGATTTTGGGATATGGGGATTGTTTTCAAGAAGAAAGAAGAACTGGAGCAGGTAATCAAGGCCAAATGGGCAGCTTGGGCTTTAATGTCTAGTCCTTTTGGCTTGAGGATGGGTAAAAGGCCAGGGTTGATAATTGTTATGTTGCTCCTACTTCTCTTTAAGGTTGAACTTGGGACAGGCTAGGAGCTGGGCATGAAAGTGGCAATCATGTGACTCCATCTTTGGAGAGAAAGGGAGTGAGGCAGAGATTGACACTTAGGAGTAGGCAATATAGTCAATACTCACAAAAGAGAACCCCATAGATATAATTCCTGTCTTTCTTTCCTTTTTCTAGCTGATTTTGGATTCTGCGCCCAGATCACCCCGGAGCAGAGCAAACGGAGCACCATGGTGGGAACCCCATACTGGATGGCACCAGAGGTTGTGACGCGGAAAGCCTATGGGCCCAAGGTCGATATCTGGTCCCTGGGCATCATGGCCATTGAAATGATTGAAGGGGAGCCCCCATACCTCAATGAAAACCCTCTGAGAGTAAGTATTGCTAGTCCCATGACCAGATTTTGAGTTGTTGTCTTTAGTCCCAGGAAATGGGACTCAGGTTATTCTCAATGGCTTTGAACCTAAATCTCTCTTTTTCTGGATAAAATCCGCCAGTGTTGAATTTAAAGTATAAATGCTCAAAGAAAAGGGATATTAGCAGTAACTCATTACTTTACTACAGTACTCAACAATTGAGCTCCGATCATGAGCAAGAAACCATTCTAATATTAGAAAACAAATTACTATATAAGTAACAGAGGTAGGTGCTGTGAAAAAAAGCAGAGTAATCCATGGCCGGTGTGACTTGGTTAGAGTATTGTCCTGTGCACCAAAAAAGGTGGCGGTTAGATTCCTAGTCAGGGCACATACCGAGGTTGTAGGTATGTACATGGAGGAGGCAGCCGATCAATATTTCACTAGTTTACATATGGCCGGTCACATGGCTTTTTAATGTTAAACTTGATCCCTGGTCATATTCTTTCCAGTATACCAAAGCTGCCTCTTTGTGTCCTAGAAGCATAAAGCAGCTGACCATATGTCTAGAGGGCATGTCTGGGACCAAGTGAGAACCTCATTTGGAACCTAAAGTGATTTTCCACTTGTGTTGTCAGGCCTTGTACCTCATTGCCACCAATGGGACCCCAGAGCTTCAGAACCCAGAGAAGCTGTCATCTATCTTCCGAGACTTCCTGAACCGCTGTCTTGAGATGGATGTGGAGAAGAGAGGTTCAGCTAAAGAACTGTTACAGGTAACTGGTCTATGCAGGAAGCCCCTGATTTTTGGAAATCAAGCCTGTTTTGCTTCATTTTTGTCTGTGAGGTATGGGTTTTTATGGAACCTGGCTTCTCTCTTCTTACCAGTTTTGCACTCAAGCTACATATATTCCCAGTTCCCTAACCTTCTTTAACCTGGGCTTCTGCTCCTGTCATTTTTTTAGGCTCTTCTTCAGCCTATTAAAACTCTACATTCTCCCAGGCTCAGCTGAAAAATCTATTATCTGAGCGCCTAATGAACTTTGCTTGTATCTTTCTTCAGCACTTGTTTTGTTCTGCCTGATTTAGTCTAGCAGAGTTTGAGTCTTTGGTAGAAGATGCTATTTAATATGCAATTATTAAAAAAGTTTTAGTTTACTGGGAGATAAGCTCAAAAAATTGCATTTTCAGTAAAGGGTATCAGAGGACATAAATTTTGGGGAGGTTAGAGTGCAGCTTTTCAAATCTTTCCTGTTTCTACAGTTGAAACCCTCTCAGATGGTGGCAGTGATATTCTGACAGACTTGGCAAAACCTAAAGTCGGGAGTTTACCATGTTTTTTTTACTACCACCTGCTTAATTCTGGTTAGACAGACTAATTATTTCACATGGTTGCAAAACGTATCTTTAGCAGGCCACATTATTTGTATTTAACATTTATGTTTCAGATATAATTTCTTATTGCTAGTATATTTTAGTACATTGCCTATGGCAATTTAATAATATCACATAACTTTGTAACAGTGAGTAATCTGTAGGCATGTACAGTCAGTCATTTTTTTTTTTTTTTTTTTTTTTTTTTTTTTTTTTTTTTTTTTGTATTAGGACCAAGAGCAACTAAGCAGGGCAGGGCAGAGCAGAATCCATCACACCGCCCTGCATTGAAGTTAGTTAATGAACATTCCTGTTTTCCCCACTAGATTGCAACCTCCACTTTATTAATCTCTGGGTCTCCTCTTATAACTAGGACCTAGTTCAGAATAGGTATTTAGAAAAAGTTTGTTATATTGAATGGAATTGCATAAATTGAAATGTTACCCTCTGGAACATACTTAGCATTGCTTTGTAATTGGGGTTACTGGTTACAGAGCATTGGTCAATTAGATATGGGATCTGGGTTCTGCCAAATGTAATCCAATAGTCTCTAGAATCCTTTGGGACTAAAAACCCCTTATAACAGGCAGTACAGATAGGATCTCTTTGTCTTTCGTATGAGGTTTGTTCTGGAAACCCTAGGCATTGGGAAATGTGCAAATACTACGTCAAGCCTGTAGTTGAACATATTGTTAATTAGATACCAAATTGTAGTTATTGAAAGATTAGTGCCCTCTAGAGTTTTACCGAAATAATAATGTAACTAATAATAAATGCAGGATTTTGAATCTTTACCACACTCTAGGCACTAAGAACTTTATATATTTTTCATGTATGCTTTATAATAACCCTGAGAGTTATAGCTTCTGTTATTCCCAAGTTTACATGTGAAAAAAAATGAGCATTCAAGCATTTGGTAGCTTTTTTATGATTGCATAACTGATAAGTGGGGAATTCAGCATTTCAACCTATGTTTAGTAGGCTCTCAGGTTTGTGTGCTCTTGGCCACTGCTCTTTTGGCTGAAAGAGTGTGAACACTGGAAGGGCCTTCAGGCTTATCTAGTCTACTTTGTTCACTAGAGAGAGGGGGAAACTGAAGCCTCCGGGTTGGGTAGTTGATCATGCCGCTTTCTCAGCTCAGAGGCTTATAGAGCATGTGATCTGAGGACATGGGCTCTTTAACTTGTTACTGTACATTGTAAATACTTAAAACCGTGACTCTCAAAATCTTAAAGAATGAAAGCTTCACATCTATTTCTGCTGTGCAGACACATCTGTGAACAGAAGTGCATAGGATCTTATGTTGGAATTCATATCTGCATGATTTAGCCAGATCTTTTTAAAAAAATATGTTTTATTGATTTTTTTACAGAGAGGAAGGGACAGGGATAGAGAGTTAGAGACATCAATGAGAGAGAAACATCAATCAGCTGCCTCCTGCATGCCCCCTACTGGGGATGTACCCACAACCAAGGTACATGCCCTTGCCCGGAATTGAATCCTTAGGGGTTGATGCTCTATCCACTGAGCCAAACTGGTTAGAACTAGCCAAATCTTTTATTCCTTTTATGAAAATTGTAACTTCTTGTTTTCAGTACCTCTTTATGTCCTATCTCTGTCCAAAAGGAAGTTGAAAAGTTGAAGCAACTTGTTAGCAATGAATCTATATATATTGTTTCTGTGTGTGTCTGTACACATATACAACATGATTAAAAAGGGATGTATAAAGATGACCAAAAAAAAAATCAAATATGCAAATAATTTTAGTTAAATTGTTTTGTTTAAACATCAAATTTGGTTCCTAGTTTCCTGGTAGTCAGGACAGAAAAGGAAATGTAATAGTTCCTATATTCTTACCAATTGAAGAAATATCCCCTATTCTCAAGGCACAAAGCTTTTTTACTATTAAATGTAAGGAAAATCATTTTTTAATTAAGAGACTGGATTATGTAAATCATTGTTTTTCATGTCAGTTTTATTGAAAATGTACATGCAGTTTTCATATGGTGTTTTCTCCAAAAAGTCTTCTTTAATAGTTGGGGATATGGCCCCGAGTACAGTCCAATGAAAGTGATTTTTGTTAGGACCAAGCTATTGATCAAGTCCTCACTGAATTAATTAGCCTTACTGGATTCAAGGATAGCACAACAAATTATGAGACCAGTGCTCCTAAAATGCAGTGTTTCAGTATATCATTGAGTCATGTTTAGTCAGTACCTTCCCACAGAGGTAATTATTTTTCTGCTGATCACCATAGTTTAGTCTTACCTAATATAATATAAACTCCTTTGTATCTGGCTTTTTTTATTCAACATAATGTTTATGGGCTTCATCTCATTGTCAGTGTACCAGTTATTATTTTATTTCTGTGTAATTTCCTGTGTAGTATTTTATGACCATAACATTTTCATCCTTCCATTCTCTTGGACATTTGGGTTCTTTTTAGTTATGACTATTAGAAGTAAAGCTGTGATGAACAGCCTTACATCTGTCTCTGCACAAACTCCTCTTGGAAGTATACCTAGGAATGGAATTGCCGGGATGTAGGATAGATTGTGTTTAGTTGAAAGTAGATACTGCCAGTTTTCCAAAAATGGTTTGTTATCTTTTAAAGATGTCCTCCAATTTGGGGATAATCTGAAGCTCTCCAGGTAGCCTCTTTGTGCAAATATGGATGCCCTTAACATCTTGTAATGGCAAACTGTCATGTGACTTTTGCTTTTTTTCTTTCTTTTCTAGCATCAGTTCCTGAAGATTGCCAAGCCCCTCTCCAGCCTCACTCCACTGATCGCTGCAGCAAAGGAGGCAGCCAAGAACAATCACTGAAACCACGCTCGCCCCAGCCTCATTGTGCCAAGCCTTCCGTGAAATTAATGCTAATTCCAGAAATTCCAACCCCTGATGCTCTCTCTTCCTTGCCTTGCTCCTCCCATTTTCTGGTCTAGTGCTCTCAAGACTTTGATCCTTGAAAACCATGTGTCCAGCTTTGAAGAGAAATGCAACCGACTAATCAGATGATGGCTATCTAAATAAGGAATTTCCTCTTGATTTGTGGATGTGAGGGTGATTTATGATCTGGGCTTACATGAATAAACACTTGGACTCCTATTTCTACCTAGCAAAATCTTCTTCACCTACCACCTCCTCCCAAACCCCCAGCCAATCGGTTTTTGGCTGTATAGTTTTTGGCTTTATAACATTATCAATTTGTAATTGGTTGAGGTTTCTTTAGTTCTTGATTTTCTGTGACTGAACTGCCCAAATACCAGTTTGTACTTGAAAATTGGAACAGCTTGAGGAATGCCATGGTGATTGATAATCTGTCGGGGGCATGAAATGGCTCCACTTCCTGGACCATGACTATGGCACAACTGATACTGATATGGGAAGAGAGAGCCACCACATTTTTCTTTGTGCTTCTACAGATGTTTGGGAGGATCTTGACCTAGTAGTGTTCCCCATGCTATTTCTTGTGAAATGGTCTTGGCTCTCTATGTAGCAGCGTTTGACTCCCTACATCCCTTTAGACTGCTGCTCCCCATTCTGTCCTTGTTTAGAACACTGAGAAGTTTCCTAGGGCCTATGCTGAGTGAGAGCAGTGTGAGAAGTCAGGGGGAAAAATATTAGCTGCTTTTAGAACAAGGCTGGACATCAGCACCTGTCCAGCTATACCTATGTGGTATTTTAAGAACTCAGTCTCTTTTTCCTTTTGGCATCAGGAGCTGAAAGATTAAATGAGATCTTCCGATGGCCTGAATCTTTTGGTCAAAGGGAAGGATCTCCAAATCTGAGACTACATGTTAGTTTGGATGGATCTGGTGGCCTGAGATGATACTCTGCTAGCTGGGAGGGGACCCTGTTTTCACAATGCATGGCCACGCTCTCTGCAAATGGCAATGCTTGCACTGGGTGTCTGGGATGTTTGCTACCTCCTGCTATCTTTGTGGTTTTGGTCTTGCCACTATGGTAGGACCCCTGGCCAGCATTGAGGCTTGTCGTGTCAGCCCCATTGGCTACCTTGTTATACTCTGAGGTACTGCTGCCTCTGCAGCCCAGGTTTTATTTCCTTCAATAAAAGAAGATGAAAATACTCTTTTTGGAGCATATGCCTTTCTGTTTTCCTTTATTTCCTGGTTTTTTTATTTTGACATAATCTCAAACTAAAGGAAACAAATTTATGAAATAAATCTATGTTTTTTTCTTCTCAAACCATTTGAGATTAAGTGCAGATAAAATGCCCCATTTACTCCTATATATTTCAATGTGTATTTTTTCTTTAAAATTTTTCTTTATTGATTTTAGAGACGAAGAGAGAAGGAGAGAGAGAGAAGCATCAGTGATGAGAGGGAATCATTGATAGGCTGTGTCCTGCACACCCCACAACTGGGGCATGAGCCCTGACTGGAACCAAACCGTGACCTGGTTCATAGGTCGATGCTCAACCACTGAGCTATACTAGCTGGGCTCTTTCTTAACGCTTTTATTTTAAATCTAAATTAAGAGAAATAGGCCAAAATGTTTGTATATTATAAGGTTCATGCACCTTAAAAGGAACTGTGGGCCACGAGGTTGCTGTGGGCACAGGGGCGGGTCTTGGCCCATCTTCTGAGCCCCCACCCGGCCCCTCCTATCATGGCTCTGGTCCCTACTCCCACTGCAACCACTCCCATGTGCTCACTGCACCAGCCCCGCTCACACTCCTAATGGTGTGGAGCAATTGGAGGTGGGGCGGCTGGCGCTATCAATGGGTGCAAGCAGTGGCTCTGTCGCTGGCTGCAGGTGCTAGTGGGTCAGCGCTGGCAGTGGGTGTGATTAGGGCCATCACCAGCAGTGGGTGCGAGAGGTGGCTGCCCGCCCAGATCACCCCTCAGGAGCAGGAGGAGTTGGAGAAGCCCTAAGGGGAGATCAGGGTCAGCAGCTGCTACTCGCACCCGCTGACAGCACTGACTGATCAGGGTGGGCTCTGGGCACCAACAGTGGGTGTGAGCTTCGGCTCTTGTGCTGGCAGCAGGTGCGAATGGGGCTGGCAACAGCAGCAGGTGCAAGCACCCCGCGGGACCACAGCATGTGGGAGCAAAGAATTTTCAGTAACCACTGGAGGCTCACCCCAATGACAGTGACAAGCACACCACCTTGGTCTGGTGTCCCCACTCACCTGCTCCACCATCCTGCCGCAGCCAATGCCCACCACATTCCACACACTGCCATCTGCTGCTGATGCCTGCCATGTTCTGCACGCACCCCCTGGTGGTCATAGTGACCCGTTCAGTTGTTCTGCCGTTCAATCTATTTGCATATTAGGGTTTTATACATACACTAGAGGCCTGGTGCACAAAATTCATGCACGAGGTGGGGGGTGTCCCTCAGCTCAGCCTGCATGCCCTCCAATCTGGAATCCCTCTCACAATCCAGGACTGCTGGCTCCCAACTGCTCACCTGCCTGCCAGCCTGATCACCCTCTAACCACTCCCCTGCCAGCCTGATCAACACCTAACTGTTCCCCTGATGGCCCGGTCACCCCTAATTTTCCTCAACTGCCCTCCCCTGCAGGCCCAGTCATCCCTAAGTACCCTTCCCTGCTGGTCTGATCACCCACAACTGCCCTTCCCTGCTGGTCATCTTGTGGCAGCCATCTCGTGTCCACATGGGAGCAGTTATCTTGTGTGTTGGAATGATGGTCAATTTGCATATTAGATCTTTATTAAATAGCATAAATTGGTTCAAGCAGTTATGGAGCCTGAGAGGTTTAATGATCTGTGTCTGCAGGTTGGAGACCCAGAAAAACAAGTCATTTGAAATCTGACAGAGAGCCAATGGTGTAGATTTCAGTCAAGTCTGATGTCAGAGCCAGGAGCACCAAGAGCAGATCAATGTCCCAGCTCAAAGTCAGGCAGAAAGCAACCTTCCTCCACCTTTTTCTCTTTAGGCCCTCAACTAATTGGGTGATGCTCACCAACACTAGGGAAGGCCACCTACTTTACACAGCACTTCAACTCAAATGCTGCTCTCTTCTGGATATACCCTGAAAATACACCCAGAAATGATGTTTAACCAGATACTATACTGGGCATCTTATGGCCCAATCAAGTTGACACATGAAGTCAACCATCAATCTCCCCAAGCCACCTTCAGGCAAAAGATGCTGTCAGTTTATGGCTTTTAAATCAAGGGGTCAATGTGTTAAGATTGGTGACCCCCAATATTGTTTTGTGTAAAAAAATAAATAAATAAAGACACTGGAGATCCTCCATGCAGTTACTAAAGGGAAAAGTACAATTGGATTGCTTATGTGTAAGAGAGAAGGAATGTTAGGTGATGGTATGAGAACCCAAAGACTACCTGTGCACTTTGAGATTGCAGTGGTAAACTGGTTAGTCTGATAAGGCCTGAGGAATTTTTAACTGATTGCCCCTCTGCAGTCTTAAAGTTGTCTAATTAGTTGGATATCAAAACAGAAGCATTGACTGTCCCGTGAACCTTCCATTGTAGGAATGACTGTTTACTGCTGGGATGTCTAGCAATCCACTCGTAATGAAATATTCTTCATGCTTAGTCAGCTTAACAGCATATCTTCATGCTTTAAAAAAAAAAATTATGCCTGCAGAGTAATGGAGCCATAGCCCTCTGAGTTAGCCACTGTTATTTTCCCCATAAAGAAACTGAAGCTTGAAGATATGAAGATTCTTGCACATTGTTGCATAATGCAAGATTCAGAATGAGGTCTGAGTCTAGTATCTTGCTACTGCAGCCCACCTTCCTAGAGGCATGGCAGCAAGGACAGTGGCATAGGGTAGAGGGAGAAAAACAAACGTACTTCACGTTCAAGTGATACTGTGTGCTTATTTGAAAAAGAGAGCCAGTGGCCAGTTACCTAGTTTGACTTCCCTTTCCACTGCTCATTGCCAGAGGCTTAGGGACCTGAAGAACTGGGTTACAAATCCCATCACTTAAGGGAGCCCCAGCTAACCAGTTAACTGCTACAGAGACTGTTTTTCTTACCCATGTAGAGTAGGTTGCCTGAGTGGGACACAGTAGTGTACAGCAGAAAACAGCTTAATTTCTCTTATTGACACTTGAAACGAACGGCTCTGTGAGATAGGCCTTTCCCTGCCCCTGAATGGAATCATACTCAGATCCCATAGCTTTTCTTCGTCACGCTTAAATAATTTTTAAAGGTCCACTTTAGTACACCAAAAAGCCTCAATTTAGAATAAAAAGTTTCCAATGCAGAGTAATAACCCAAATTCCAAACTGCCTTGGAAGTTATAGCTTTAGGCTGAGAAGCCTAAATGAGAAGCCTAAATATTTCAGATTGTCTTCTCTATATTCCAGCCTCACAAGTCTACTTTTCTGACTTGTTCAGGGTCAGGACCAGGAGAGAGAAGATCAGGGTCAAGGGCCACAGTGCATTGAGGCCCTCTGGTGGCATCATAAAATAGCTGACCCCTTCTGGTGGCCTGAGCAGCGTTCTGGAGGTGATCCTCAAGGAAACCTTGGATGGCAGGTACCTTGGCAAAAGTGAAACATCTCCACCTGCCTGTCCTTATATACTGCAATTCCCCTTCATGTGTGTACTGTATGTTTTTCTAATATTTTTATTTTTAAAATTGATTACAAAGAAAACTTGCTCATTATATAAAATTCAATAATTACAAAAATGCATAAATGAGAAAACAATGCATCCCTCCAAAATCCTATTTCCCTAATCAGTAATGTCTCTAAAGTTGTCCTTTGTATATATTAAATAAAACTTTGTTTAAAAAAAACCACTTTTCATTTAAACACTTAGATTGATAATACTTGAATTGATAATAAATTCATGTGAC